TGGAACAAACACTCCTGAAATTCAGATCCATAAATAAGCAACCACGAATAGCTGAAGCAAATCTTGGGGAAAAGAATATTGTAGGAATCAACCTCCCCAACCCCAAACAATACTACAAAGCAGTAATAATTAAAACAGCATGCTACTGGAACAAAGGCAGAGCCGCAGACAAGGTTAAATATACTGACACCCCTTCCCCCAAATATATGATCAGCTAATCTTTGATAAGGGAGCAAGAAATGTGAAGTGCATCAAGGAAAGCCCCTTTACAAATTGTGCTGGTTAAACTGGAAAGCTACATGTAAAAAATTGGCTCAGATCTCTACCTAACACCATGTACATAAGTCACATAAAAATTGATTAAAGACCTCAACATCAGACTGGAATCCATAAGGTACATTGAATACAATGTTGACAAAACACTCCACAACATTGAAGCTAATGGTATCTTCAAAGATGATGCCACCGATCAAGCAAGTGAAAACAGAGATAGACAAATGGGAGTATTTTAAACTAAGAAGCTTCAAAGAAACAGTGACCAGAATACAAAGACAGTATACAGAATGGGAAAGGATAATCGCCCAGTACCCATCTGATAAGGGGTTGATATCAAGGATACACAAAGCACTGGTTGAACTCCACAAGAAGAAAACATCCAACCCCATCAAAAAAAATGGTCTGACAAAATGAACAGAAACTTTCTCAAAGAAGAAATCCCAATGGTTAAAAGGCACAGGAGAAAATGCCCCAGATCACTAATCATCAGGGAGATTCAGATCAAAACAACAATGAGATATCACCTCAATCACAGAGACCAGCCCACATCCAAAAGAACAAAAGCAACCGGTGTGGTGCGGATGTAGTGAGAAAGGTACCCTCCATTACTGCTGGTTGGAATGGCAACTGGTTCAGCCCTTTTGGAAAACATATGGACAATTCTCCAAAAATTAGAAATTGATCTCCCTTTTGACTCAGCAATACCACTCCTGGAAATATATCCCGGAGAGGCAAAAAAGTACAGTCAAAATGACAACTGCATTTGTATTTTCATTGCTGCATTGTTCACAATAGCCAAAATTTGGAAAAATCCCGAGTGCCCAAGAACAGATGACTGGTTAAAGAAACTTTGGTACATCTGTGCAATGGAATACTTTGCAGCTGTTAGAAAAGATGAATTCAGGTTGGAGCAATAGCACAGCGGGTAGAGCATATGCCTTGCATGCGGCTGACCTGGGTTCGATCCCCGGCATCCCATATGGTCCCCGAAGCACCGCCCGGAGTGATTTCTGAGCATCGCTGGGTGTGACCCAAAAAGCAAAAATAAAAAAAAGATGAATTCATGAAATTTGCATACAAGTGGTTTACATGGAAAGTATCATGCTAAGTGAAATGAGCCAGAAAGAGAGGGATAGACAGAAAAACTGTACTCATCTGGGGAATAGAAATAACAGAAGGGTAGATGAACACCCAAGTATAGTTGAGATAAGTACCAGGATGTCTGCTCCACGGCTTGGAAGCCAACAGCACATGCTTTGGGAAAAGTAAGCTTAGATAGAGAAGGGAACACCAAGGAAAGGATGTTTGAAGGATCTGCCTGGGAGGTAAGATGAGAGCTTGAAAGTTTACAGACCAAACATGATGACCACTCAATACCTCCATTGCAAACCACAACACCCTAAAGAAAAGAGAGCAAAAGGAAATGCCTTACCACAAAGGCAGAGCGGGGTGGGGGGATAGGGTGGAGGGGGTGGGAGGGTTACTGTGATCATTGGTGGTGGAGAATGGGCACTGGTGAAGGGATAGGTACTCGATAATTGTATAACTGAAATCCAAGCATGAAAATTTGTAATTCTACAACTGTACCTCATATTGTTTCACTAATAAAAAAATTATTTTTTTAATCGAATCACTGTGATATACACACATAAAACCTTGCTCATCATTGGGTTACAGTCATACAATGTTCCTAAAGCCATCCTTTTACCATTGTACTTTTCCTGTCACCAATGTCCCAAGCTACCCTCCAGCCACCCTCCCCACCTGCTCTGTCTTCCCCCTACCCCCATGCAAGCCCACCTCTACTCTATAACAGGCAATTTCCTCCTCCTCTCTCTCCCTCTCTTTCTCTCCCTTTCTTTCTTTCCCTCTCCTTCTGCGCACTGGGATTTGCAATATAGGTACTGAGAAGTTATCATATATATTTCTTTCCCTATTTTTACCACTCAGTTCTTGCCCACAATGATCATTTCAAGCTATTTCTGTCTTATTGGTCCCTTCTTTATCCAAGAAGGGATCCTTCCCAGCCCTTATACTTGTGGCAAATGTCTGTCCATGGACCTGTCCTACCGGCCCTTGTTCTTACTGTCTGTTATTAGCCCCATATTACAATATTTTATATCCTACAATCTTTCTATATCTGTCTGTCTCCTTTTACTAATTTTACTCAGCATGATATTTTCCATGTCCATCTATTTATAAACGATTTCATGACTTTATTTTTCCTGGTGGCTGTGTAGTATTCCATTGTGTTACATATACCATGGTTTCTTTAGTCAGACTACTCTTGATGACTTGACTATTTCTAGCCCATCCCACCTGTATCCCTTATTCATTCAGATTATCATAGTTCTGTTTACCGGACATATAAAACATTTTTTCTGTCCTCATTAATTTTCTTACACTTTAAATTTTGGTGAAATTAGCACATTTACTTTTTCTTTAAACTTACATTAGAACACAATGTCAAATATTAAAATTTCAATATTTTCTTGAAATTAAATTTTATTTAATATTATTTGATGCTCTATTTAAATTAGGGTAAATATAGTCAGTTGATAAAATGATTTCCTACTCTTTTTATGAATGTAGGAGCTCATTTCTATAATTTTAAAAATGCAATTAATAATAGAAAAATTTCAAGTAGGTGATTCATACAAAATCCACAAGCAAAGTGAACCACTTTATTAATTTTACTATAATTATTTCATAATACTAGTAATTTTGTAATGCAAGACAATTAAGTCTTCAATAATAAACTGAATAATTTATATCAGATTAATTTATGTACTTATCATGGTGATCAGCAACACAAATTTCTTACTTGGAAATTTCCTATCCACTATTTCCTCATATGTCTACACAGCGTCCATGGGAGGTGAATCTCAATGGAACCCCATGGAAAGAAATTTTAAGTTTAAAATCTGATTCTGTAAACAATGTATTTAATTATAACACTATTTAATACAAAAACAGTACACGTGTTTGGTTAAGAATAAGTCATTGAGGTCTATTACTCAATAGTTGAAGAAATTTAAAAAATGGTTGATAACTACAAATGCTTAAAATTTAAAATTTCTTCCAAATACTTCAACATGAACTTCAAGTCAAATAATGGACACATGTTTAATTTCTATTCTAGAACTTTGAAATAAAATTGATAATACTATTTTAAAGAAAGAAAAAAATAAGGGATTGGACAGATAGGAAAATGGGTAAGGTGCTTACTTTGCATATACCTTACATGCAAGTTTTATTGCTGGCACTGCATAAGGTCTCCTGCACCTGGTTAAAAGTGATCCCTGAGTCCAGATCCAGAAATACATGAGAGCTACTTCTTATTGCTAACATTGATATGATTTAGCTTCCTATTTATCCACACCAGGTTATGGGCTCAGGTATAATGTTCGGCAAGCACAGAAAACCTTATAGGATGCTGCGGATCAAACCAAGAGTTATGGTTTAAGTTGGGCTTTACATGTTCATGCATTGATATATCAAAGACAAAGACAGACATAGATCTATAATTCTACTTAATTAGAGAGTCTCAAATTCTTAGAGTTTATAGAAAAATGGCTTTATAACGCTAGGAAAATCATGAATTAAAAACAGGTAGTAAAGGTTATACATCAATTTTTTAAACATTGGTATTACATGACTGCAAACTGCACATTTCGTTTCACTTTTATTGATTTATTTTTGTGTCCTACCTAGAAGTACTCAGGTTTTACACATGCTTTGCATTCAGGGATCACTCTTAGCAAGTTCAAGGACCATATGTGGTGCATGCAAGTCAAGCACCCTAACCTCTATCACCTCAGGCCCACGTTTCACAAAATTTTAATGTGGCACATTTGTAATGTGATTTATGGATCTCTGAGACTATAATGAGTCTCCTGCCCCCACGCCTGGCTGTCCTCGCCAGGGTCCCTTGGAGGGGAGTGGGTTGAGTTTCCCTCCCTGCCTTGACCAGGGTTCCGGCAGCCGAAGACCTCCAGAACCAGCCACCAACATGCTGAGACCACTCTCCCCACTCATGAAGGTACCAGCAGAGGAACAAAAGGCATGAGGGTCCCGGGGCTGAGATCTCGAAGCCTACTCAGATCAGGGCTGAGCATCTTCCACCCAGATCCTCCAAATTCCAGTAGGCAGGGGTCACACCCACCAACTGGCACCCTGGGGCCGTGTAATCCCATCAGCGGCCAAGACTCAGAGACTATATCACACAGCTCCCAGAACCGCGCGACTGCATTTGCGGCCGCGCAACATCTTATTATGACATCTTATTATCCCATTCCTACTATGGACAAACTGGCAGGCTACCGAATGTAACCTGCCCACATGGCAGAGTCTGGCAAACTCCCCATGGTGTACCCAATATGCCAAATACCAGTAACAATGGTGGGTCTCATTCTCCTAACTCTGAAAGACCTTAAATATGGCACTTTTTGAAAAATCTCAGGGCTAGGACAAAGGAGACTTTACTGGGACCTGCTCGAGGCAATGCATGAATAACAGGATGGTCGTGATCATTATCGTGAGACTATAATTGCATCAACATAGTAGGTTACATAAATTCTGACTTCTGAGTAAATTGTGTTAGGTTACACTTGAAAGTAAAGTTAAGAAGAATGGATTAATGAAGAAAAGTCTAAATAATTGTACATATTTTAAGTTTATGACTGCTTAGATAAGATTTCAAATATTTTTTATTCATACTTTGGATATGTCAGGTTTCCATTCATACGGGTTGCTCAAAATGATTTCTGTTCAGTCTGTTTTTGATACCCACTTTTACAATTTTACAAATTTAACAGTTTCTCCCCATTGAAAATAAATCTCTTTTCCTCTTCTCTCTTGTATTTGTATATTATATTTATCCATGATGTCTTTTGATATTACACAAGGATCTGAAGGCAAAAATATAAGACATTAAGAGTATACAAGAAATTTTCACTTAACTTCAGACTATCAAATACAGTCTTCACTGACTCAAGAATTAAATATCAAACATTTTACACTTTTACACAATGCAAAATACATTGTATGTATTGAAATTATTTAAATTGTGAATCAAGTAAAATGGTACTAGTTTAATTTGTTAAAATAAAATGAATTAAAGATATATGTCAAATATCTTAATAAGAACTGTCCTGTAGCACTGTCCTCCCATTGTTCATCGATTTGCTCGAGCGGGCACCAGTAATGTTTCCATTGTGAGACTAGTTGTTCCTGTTTGGGGCATATCGACTACGTCAGGGTTGTTTGCCAGGCTTTGCCATGTTGGCGGAATACTCTCTATAGCCTGCCAGGCTCTCTGAAAGAGATGGAGGAATTGAACCCTGGGTGGTTGCATGCAAGGCAAACCCCCTACCCGCTATGCTATCAAGCTGGCCCATCTTAATAAGAGTTTTCATTAAAGAAACTTTCTTTGCCTTTATTACTTAACTAAGAACATTTTATATTCTTCTATAATAATAATCACCAAACATTCAACAGAGCACTAGTTTTTTAATTCATGAAAATTTTATTGAAACAAAGAACTTCACATTAATTTTTTTTCAGGACGCAAGAGAAAATGTAAATACTTACCTAAACATTCTGTTGGTATTGTCCACTTTCCTTTATTACATATTATGGTACTATTGCCCCATCGTTTGTAGTAGGACTGACATTGGTACTTAACTAATGATCCTGGAGCATATTCTTTTAAAGGCATTGTGGTTATGTCTCCATTGTCAATGGCTGGAGGAAGTCCACATTTTTCTTTAGGATCTAAAAGTATATATTTGATATCATTAATCACGGCAGAGCCTGGCAAGCTCCCCGTGACGTATTCGATATGCCAAACACAGTAACAACAAAGTCTCCAATGGAGACGTTACTGAGCCCGCTCGAGCAAATCGATGATCAACGGGAGGCCCTTTTTTTAATCAAAGATTAAAAAATTATTTATTGTATAAAAATTTAGTATCTATACCAAAGAGCATAGCAACTTGAAATATAGCAAATAAAAATAGCATAATATGGTTATTCTGATGTGGTTAGTTTTTGCCAGTGATTGAAAAAAGGTTGGCAACATGCAAGTCCTGGGCTTTTAATTCCTATCTTTCTAGATGTCCATGTACATAACCTTTTCTCCTGAGTTAAAATACTTTCTTCTTTGGAACTATGTGCATGGCATAATTTAAAATTTTAGCACTGTAACACTATAGCACTGTCCTCCTTCCTGTTGTTTATCGATTTGCTGAAGCGGGCACCAGTAATGTCTCCATTGTGAGACTTGTTACTGTAGTCGGCATATCAAATACTCCACGGGGAGCTTGCCAGCTCTGCCGTGTGGATGCGATACTCTCTGTAGTTTGCTACACTCTCGAGAGGGAGGAAGGAATCGAAACCAGGTCAGCCACATGCAAGGCATGCTACCCACTGTGCTATCACTCCAGCCTCAAAATTGGTAAGTTTAAATACTTATTTCTGAAAGAAAAAAGGATACAGACTTATGAAGTGAATTTTTAAAGCAAAACATAATGGTGCACATTTATATTTGAGATCATAGATACAGGTCAATTCAATATTTCTTAATAAACTTTTATTATAGGTAAAGAGAAGGTAAAGGCCCTCCCGTTGATCGTCGATTTGCTCGAGCGGGCCCAGTAACGTCTCCATTGGAGACTTGGTTGTTACTGTGTCTGGCATATCAAATACTCTCGGTAGCTTGCCAGGCTCTCCGAGAGGGGCGGAGGAATCGAACTCGGGTCGGCCATGTTGGCCGCTTGTAAGGCGAACGCCCTACCCGCTGTGCTATCGCTCCAGCCCTTAAACTTTTATTATAATATAATGAATTGGCATCAGACTTGACTTAATTACATCAAATGATTGGAATCACATTTATAACTAGAACATGGGAAGGTGTTATTGAAAGCCTAAATATATGTCGATACATGAATTTTATCCATTGACAAGATCCAGCACCCGTTCATGATAAAAAGTCTCAACAAAATGGCAGTTGAAGGAACTTCAATATAGTCAAATACACTATATGTACTCAATGGAGTCAAAGCCATCTACCAAAAGGACACAGCAAGTATTATTCTTAAGGGGGAGAAACCACAGGCTTTCTCACTAAGATCAGGTACCTGACAAGGTTGCCCACTCTTGTCACTACTATTCAATAGAGTACTAGAAGTACTTGCCACAGCATTTAGGCAAGAGAAAAGATATTGAGGACATCCGGGTAGGAAAGGAAGAAGTCAAACTCTCACTATTTGCAGATGACATAATACTGTACTTAGAAAACCCTAAAGTCTCTGCCAAAAGCTCCTAGAAACAATAGGTAAGTATAATAGAGTGGCAGGTTACAAAATCAATACCCAAAAGTTCATGTTTCTCCTATATACAAATAATGAAAGAGAAGAAAGTGGTAATAAAAAACAATCCTGTTCACAATTGTGCCGCAGAAAATGAAGCACCTTAGAATCAGCTAAACTATGGAGGTAAATGACCTATACAAAGAAAACTACAGAACTCTACTTCAAGAAATATGAGAACAGGAGGAAATGGAAACACACCCGCTGTTCATGGATTGGGAGAATTAACATTGCCAAAAAGGCAATACTCCCCAAAGCTTTTTACAGATTCCATGTGGTCCTTATGGGATACCCATGACATTTTTCAAAGAAATACACAAAATACTCCTGAAATTCATAAGGAACAATAAGTCTCCACAAATACCTAAAGCAATCCTTGGGAAAAAGAATATGGGAGACAACACCTTCCTCAACTTCAAACTGTTCTATGCCTTGCATGCGGCCGACCTAAGTTCGATTCCTCAGTCCCTCTCTGAGAGGCCGGCAAGCTACCGAGAATATACCGCCCACACGGAAGAGCCTGGCAAGCTCCCCGTGGTGTATTTGATATGCCAAAAACAGTAACAACAAGTCTCACAATGGTGACGTTACTGGTCCCTGCTCAAGCAAATCGATTGACAATCAGATGACAGTACAGTGCTACATGAATTGATTTAGAAAATGCTTCTTGCATCTGAATACTTTTTTAAGAATGTATGTCAGCAATATCATATGTGTGTATACATACGTTGTCTGTCAAAATCACTTATCACTTAATCACTTAACTTCCCGTTAGTTGTTGATTTGCTCGAGCGGGCGCCAGTAACGTCTCCGTTTGTCCCTGTCATGTGCTAGTGTAGCCCAATGGCATCTGTTCGCTCTGGGAACATGAAGAGCCTCAAACCGATCGTTCATGATCTTGATGAAGAAGTCTGACCATCTGGTAGGTGGGCGGCCACGCAGTCTTTTGACATCCCGTGGAATCCAGTCGGTAACAGCTCTAGTCCAGTGGTCGTCTTTAAATCTCATTGCCTGACCAGCCCATCTGATTTTTGACACCTTGGCAAATGAGACAGCGTCCCTGATTCTTGATCGTCGACGGATGTTGGAACTCCGGATTTTTTCTCTCATTTGAGTGAAACGTGATATTCCAAGCATAGCTCTTTCTATTCTTCTTTGGAAGACCTGAATAGCGTTCTCATCTTGTTTGCGTAGGGCCCAGGTCTCTGAGGCATATGTTAATGCAGGAAGAACAGTGGAATCAAAGAGATGTCCCCGAAGCCGGAGATTCTTCGTCCTCTTAGCTATTTCTTCGACGTTCTTGAAGGCATTCCAAGCCACTCTCTTCCTCCTGCGCAGCTCGGGTGCCAGGTCATTTGTCATGTTGACTTCTCAACCTAGGTACACATAGCTGTTGCATTCGGAGATGGTCGTTCCATTGACAGCGAATGGGGCGTAAGGAACGAGGCTGTTTCTCATAAACATTGTCTTCGTAAGATTCAGCTGTAGTCCTACCTTTCCACACTCACGTCTGTCAAAATACATTACCTTTATTTAGGTCAAATATCTTAGAAACTCATATGATTTTATCTTTATTTTTGGATTTATTACATTAATTGATTTCCATGTACTGAACCATCCTTGCATTCTTAGAATGAATTCCACTAGATCATGATGATATATTGTTAAACTTAGCTCACTAAGATTTTTGTGGAGGATTTTGCGTCAAAGTTGGTCAGAGATATCAATCTGGAATTTTTTTCAGTAATATCTCTGTTTGCTTTGGTATTGGGTAATATTAAGTTCATAAGATTTTAGGAAGGATTGCTGTTTCTTTAATAGTTTGGACATGCTTCACGAGTACAGATAGTGAGACCTATCTGAACTTTTGGTAGAACATATTAGTGTTCATCAGGACCTGGGCATTTGTTCTTGGGGAAATTTTAAATTATTTTTCAGTGTCCTTACTCCTGATTGGCCCATTTTATTTTCTGTGTGGCTGGCTTTATTGGAAAGGCATTTCATGGCAGTTAAGTGTGGAGGGCACACTTTTAACTCTCCCGAGAATAAACCCAGTGCTTCATTCACAATATTTAGCTGATTCCTATAATTCTAGTGGTTTCTGGCAGCCATGGATTACCTTGAGATAATTTGTTAAATGTTTGCAGTATCTAATCAGTGTCTACTTCTTTGAATTGTGTGCACCTAAATGACAACAGGGAATTTATGGTCACCAATGTCTTATAGTTGCTATAGCACCAAAATCTACTTGGTCAGGGATCACAGTTGCTAGATCTGACTTCCAATGTAGTAATATTGGGAAGTGACAGAATATTGGTCACATATTCCAAGCTAATCTTAGTAGATAGTAGGGCATGTTTACATTTTAACCTGGGGATAGCTTCTTCAAGCACATATGACCTCATCTCGGTTTCTTTGGGTACAATTCCCAAGACTCTTTGACTTAGCAAGTACAGATACAAAGCTTCATTCACTTTAAAAATCTTTGTACTGAGTCCTCACTGTAAACCTGTCCATTGTGTCAAGTCTATATCAGCAAACCTACATCAGGGAACTCATATACTGAGAGTTGAGGTTGAAACCGTGCTTGTGGGTTGGATATCAGGGGAAGTGTCCTACCTCACCAGTGTTAGGATTAACCAGATCTGGGTCTGTTTTCAACTCAGAGACTGTTAAATTATAGCTAAAATTTTGCAAAACCTTGAATTTAGCACCTTTGCCTAAGATCGTAGCTTTCATTACAGGAAAGGATGGCAGGTTCACTTTCCTTTCCAGTCTCTGCACCCTTTCCTCTATATAGGGAATCTATTCTGCATTCCTCAGAGTCATATCTCCCCAAATTGATAGCTGTGCTAGCTGGTGAACGTATTTCCTCTCAAAAACTCTGTGTGATGCTGTTTGGTTTAGTTTCATGCATTTTTTTTGTTGATGCTACAGCGGTGCTTTTAAAACTCTTTTAGACTCTCTTGGCTTCCATCTCTTACTGATTATTTTTCTTCACGGGATTCTATGAACATTCTGTCCTCCCTGTTTCACCAAAATTGCTTCAGTTGTTTACTTTTGGTCAAATGCACTACATATTTGCTATATTCTAACTGGTTTTATTGACTGAATTAGAAAAAGCACCAGTCCAACTACTATAATAATTAATTAGATAAATTTCTTTTGCCTAACATCAGAATCAGACTGTCTCAAAAATATTATAGCAATACCTAATAGCCAAAATAATCTTTTGAAGTATGAGAACGTTAATAAATTTTAAACATTTTACAGAAAAGGAACAATGAATGATCTTCAACTAGTCTTCATTGCTGCTCTACAAAACATGCTTAGTAATGAAATTGGATTTAGAACCCCATTGCATTGGTTTCACTAATAATTACTCTATTAGAATTCCCTATTCGCCAACATTTTATTGTAAGAACTTTGAATACTACAGTTACTTCACTCAATTCTGAGGTCCAATTTTTGGGGTGTTTTGCCTTCTGTTCTTAGTCTATCAGACGTAAAACATTGAAATGCTTCATAGAGTTCAGTCTCAAGAGATCCTCTCCTTAAATCGTGTATAAATTTCCACTGTGATGTCATGATTTACACGTAGATGATAAATGTATGTTTCTAATTAGCTCCATATACTCAGCTCTGTATCTTACATATCTAATTTATATTTTTCACATTTAACTCAGTCAAACTGTGCCCCAGTGAAAACATTTTACATTCCTCCCCAGTGAGACCATTTCACATTCCTCTCTCTCAAGCCAGAACCACCTAAAAATTGTATTTCTATTTACCTGATTGTTTAAAATCAGTCATATGATTCCTTAACTTTGACTTTAATACTTGATAGTAAAAAAATGCCAGAACAGAACTCGAATATGTCTTCTGATGTGTCTCCTCAGCCCTCAACCTATTTTATCCCAGCCATTTATACCTTCCAAGGACTACTAAACATTCCTTTGCCCACTACAAGTGTCGCCTTAGGGACATTTTCTCTTTGTTTTCTGTTTAGCCTTTGTTCATCAAATTCTTCCATATCGTTAAGTATTATTTAACTATAGAGTAAGCTGCATGTTTATAATAATGTTAGCATTTATGGTTTGATGTGCAGGACTTTTTCACCTTCACACCAGCAAAGTGCTCAAGACTGTCTGCCTCTAGTTCACTTCAAGTTCACCTCTGCATTTCTCCAATCTTTTCCTAATGCTCTGTAATTGGAATGTTGTAACTCAAGACCAAGGGTTTGTCATTGTTTAATATTGCCTATGCCCTTGTTTTGTCTTTCTATATACTATAGATGAATAAGATCTCCTAGTATTTGTCCTTCTCCCTCTGACTTATATTGCTTAACATGATACCTTCCAGTTCCAATTTGCAGTGAACTATATGATATCATCTTTCTTGTGACTGCATAGTATCCATTGTGCATCTAATACTTGATCTCTTTTGATCACTTGACATCCCATTACTCATCGATTTGCTCAAGCAGGTGCCAGTAAAGTCTCCATTCTTCCCTGTCACTACTAGTGTAGCCCAATGGCATCTGCTCATTCTAGGAACAAAAAGAGCCTCAAACCGATCTTTCAGGGTCTTGTTGAAGAAATCAGACCATCTCATAGGTGGCGGCCACTTGATCTTTTGACGTCCCATGGAATCCAGTCAGTAACGGCTCTATTCCAGCGGTCAACTCCAAATCTCATTATGTGTCCAACCCATCTGATTTTCGATGCCTTGGAAAATGAGACAGTGTCCCTGATTCTTGACTGTTGACAAAGAATCCGAAACTCTGGATTCTTTCTCTCATTTGAGTGAAGCATGATACTCCAAGCATAGCTCTTTTGATTCCTCTTTGGGAGACCCAAATAGCGTTCTAATCCTGTTTTCGTAGGGCCCAGGTATCTGAGGCATATGTTAATGCAGGAAGAACAGTGGAATCAAGAGATGTTCCCGGAGTTGTATGTTCTTTGTCCTCTTAGCTATTTCTTCGATGTTCTTGAAGGCATTCCAAGCTGCTCTCTTCCTCCTATGCAAATCAGCTGCCAGGTCATTCATCATGTTGACTTCTTGCCCTAGGTATACATAACTGTCGCATTTGGAGATGTCATTCCGTTGAGAGCGAATGGAACGTGCGGAACGAGACCATTTCTCTTAAACATTGTCTCTGTGAAGTTTAGATGTGGTCTACCTTCAACCTTTCCAAACTCACGGTTGAAGTCGGCCAGCATTTGTGCCACTTGGCTAATATTTGCTGTTTTTCACACAATGTCATTAGCAAAGCAGAGGTGGTATAGTTGCCAACCATCTTTCTTCACTCCCATTCCTTACCATTCTAGTCGTTGCAAATGACTGGCACTGAAGAGTTTCTGTGAAATGGTATCACCCTGCCAAACTCCTCTCTTGAAATGGATGATCACTTCCTTGTAGCACGGTGAGATCCTGGTAGTGAATCTGTAATATAGCTCATGGTGGATCCTGATGTATTCAGTTTGAACACCCTGTTTGGCTAGGGCTTCAATGACTACATCCGTCTCAACAGAATCAAAGGCCTTCTTTATATCAATGACCATTAAACAGAGTGGCATCTTGAACTCCCGAGAAATCTCAGTGAGCTTGGTTATCATGTGGATATGGTCTATCTTGCTGAATTCTTTTCGGAACCCTATATGTGTGCATCTATATCACAACTTTTTTTATACATTAATTTTTAGTGGGGAGATGCAAGCCACAAATTTGTTGTAAAATAACTGAGGAAGTTGAAAGAAGTCAAAATTTAATAAAGCATGATGTTTTAAACAACATGAAAACTTGCACTTCGGTGACAAACACAATCATTCTTTAATCACATTCTTTAATCTTTACATGGCCCTCTCCAGGAAGCAGCCATTTGTTGTGATTTGATTATTTATCTCTTGGTCTTAAAACACTCTCTTTTTAGTTTATATCAATTCAGAAGATAATACTTTTAAATAAGCATTCCTTGCAAATAACTCGAGGAATGTGCTCGTTTGATATTCTCAGAAAGAACAGCTGAAAAATGGAACTTACCAAAACATGTTGGTGTATCAGACCAGCCACTGTCACCACATACTATGGTCCCTGAGGTGTTTCCATGTTTGTTTTCAAATCCAGGGTTACAGTCATACTCCAGATGGTCATTGACCTTAAACCGTTTGCCACGACTCTGTGTTCTGGCATTCTCAAATGTTGGTCTATAACAGAATTCTAAAGCTTGATAGAGTTAGGTATTTCATTCTAATGTTGTTTAGAGGCAATTTAGTTGAGCAACTCTTACTCCAAAGTGGTAATAGTGAGTTGTTTAGCATGTGATTTTAGAGTATCAAAATAAAAAATCTGAAAACAAAAGTGATAAACCATTGCCTTGAATGTTACACAAGATGGAAAAGACAGGTTTTTTTTTTTAACTGCCTTGAAAATTTGAAGCACATTTACCAATTTAATTATATTTATGTATATAAGCATGCAAATTAAAAACATGAATCATTATAGATACATTTTATTCTGTAGTACATTTTATTCTGTAGGAGATTATAAATATAACACTTTTTGAATTATGATTCCAAATCATAATAGTTGTGAAATATATGCAAGAATAAAATGTTTCAATTAAATGAGAAGTTTAATTTTCAATAATGCAATTAAATTGTCATTTTATGAAACTCTACTTTTTAATATATGAGTTTTCAAAACAAAACTTATTTTGTTTTCTCAAATATTTTGCTAATGGAAATGTATTCTTTCGTACTTACCAAGTTGAATATATATAGTCTTATTATTTATAAGTAGTGAAAAAAATATAAATGGAAAAATGTCATTTTTCATTTTTACTGGACTACAGTGATTTTAATAAAGGTATTCTTGTCAAATATTTTGTTAAATACTATATGTGCATCAGTAAATTATTGATAAATATTTTGTATTCATCTCTATGTTAGATATAATTTGCTAGATATCCTGACAGATTAATTTTTAGAAAGTAAAAACTAGTACCACGGTAGCACTGTCCCCCCGTTGTTTATTGATTTGCTCAAGCGGGCCCAGTAACGTTTCCATTGTGAGACTTGTTGTTACTGTGCCTGGCATATTGAATACGTCACGGGCATCTTGCAAGGCTTTGCCGTACGGGTGAGATACTCTTGATACCTAGCTGGGCTCTCCAAGAGGGTCGGAGGAATTGAACAAAGGTTGGCCATTTGCAAGGCATATGCCCTACCCGCTGTACTAACGCTGCAACCTTAGGAAAATAAGTATTATTATTATGAATTATGAAATATTATTATTATAAATATAATAAAATCTAGTAAAGTAAGTATTATTATACTAGTATAGTTATCAATATAATTATTTTTGTATAATAAATTTTTATTAATTAATTATACTATTATACAGATTACTTGTAGAAGTATACTAGCTAAGCTAGTATATATGTTTATTCTAGTATAAGCGCTAAAGGCATTTTCTCTTTATAATAAATGTATTGTATTGGTTAATTGATAACAATTTGCTCTAACTAAATACTGTGTGGGGCAAATTTTTCATAATTTCTTTAATTACTATTCATTGTCAGCATATAATGTAAGAAAAAGAAATAAAATAAAAACATTGAAATGTATATTTTATTATTTTCACTTAAGTATCAAGATAATATAATCACTGAGTATATTTGAGAAAACACAAAATAAATTGAGAAACTATTTTCAGAAAAGAATAATAAGCATCAAGGTATTGTACAAGGAAACACCTTAAAACAGTATTTATTAGGTCGTATCTAGAGATTTTTCTGTCTCCACTAATTATAAATTCAGTAAAACTTTCTAGTATTAGTCATATTTCCAGAGTGTGTCTAGGCTGCAATACTTAAAATACAAATTGTGTTATATATATAATTGCAAAGTTATGTACCATAAAAAGTTATGTATCTTAACTTTTAAGGCATAATTTTTAGTTTGGGGGAGCAAAAACTGCATGAATTTTGCTCTGCTGAAAACAGAAATTGTAAATAACATAGATCTCTCATATAAATGTTCAATACGAACAAGTATACACATAAGTTTCTGGTTTTGATTTTTGATTTTGAGGCCACACCTAACAGTGCTCAGGGCTTACTCCTGGCCCTGCCCCCAGGAATCACTCCTGGCAGGCTTAGGCAATCATATGGGATGAGTCAGCTGGGTGCAAGGCAAGTGCTGTATGCTGTACTCTCTCCCCGGGCCACTAGTTTCTAAGTAATACTTAATAGTTTCTAAACCAAAAATACATTGTATAACAGAAATAACTGAAACTGAAAGATGGGCTGATATTTTACTGACAGTTTATTTAAAAACGCAAAAATGTAAAGACTTACAACTTTTCTCCTAAATGGAGGTACATCAGCATGCTCTCCCCAATTATAGAAGCAGTAAGTTAAAGTAAGCTTTGTAGAACTATTGTTAAGATAATTAATGCTGATATAATGACTCACTAATGAATATTAAAGTCATTGTCCATTCTGATGAATGTATTTGATCCGATTGTTTCACTGTATGCTATTATATATCCCAGTTTGCACTTATATTGTGTTTACTTATATAAGGAATATGTAATGTCAGCTTCATAAAAAAATCCCTCAAATTCTATGTATAATTGTGAACATGTTTTAAAAGGGAGACAAAAAAGTAAATGTGAAACATCATAAGAGGTTACTGTGGAAAAACTCTATGCCACTAAGCTGGAGAATCTTGAAGAAAAGAATGCAATCTTAGAACCCTGCAGTCTCCCAAAAATTATTTAGGAAGAGGTAAAAATGAGAGAGCAAAGGAAATACCTGGCAGACCAATCATACAAAAGTACATTGAAAGAGCGATTTAAGATGTCCCTGAAGAACAATATTTCAGGTTCTGATAGGCTCACTATTAAGTTCACCAAACATTCAAAAAAGACTAGCTACAATCCTCAATGCTTACCTGACACATTTTGTTGTGTGCTTATAAAAAATGTGTATATTCACACATAGAAACTCTAGCAATTAAATCAGCCCATTGTAAAAAGAAGGAAACAGTTGATATGAACTATGTGTAATTGATATATATCAGTTTAAAAAGGAACATAAAAATTGAGGTCCCTTTTACTGGTATGGATGCAGCTGGAAGGGGGGGACCAGCCATCCTCTGTACATTTCATCATGCTCTCTGCATTTTCTCTCACTTGTATTGTGCTGCTATCAATGTCTTCCTTCAAGTCTCTGTTTAGTTGCTTTAACCACTTTGCTGGTCCCTCACTGGGTGCATATATACCTATGAGTGTAAGTTCTTCCTGCTGTACAGATCCCTTGATCAACACAAAATGAACTTCAAGTCTCTTGTGACCTTCTTCAGTTTGAAATCAATGTCGTCTGATACCGAATGGCCACCCCAGCTTTTTTATTGGCATTGTTTGCCTGTAGAATTGTTTTCCTGCCTTTGACTCTAAGTCTGTTTGCTCTGACTGTTCAGATGTGTTTCTTGCAGGCAGCAGAATGTTGGGTTCAATTTTCTGATCCATCCGGCCACTCTGTGTCTTTTAATTGATGCGTTTATACCATTGATGTTCAAAGAGATTATTGTTATATGATTTTGTCTCATCTTTTTGCAAAAATTTGGTATATCTGTGGGGCTTGTTTTGTCTTAAATTAGCCCATTTAGTTGTTCTTGTAACCATAGTTTTGAGTCTATGAAGTCTCTGACCTGTTGTTTGTCTCTGATACTGTGTGTCGTTCCTTCTGATATGAATAAGTCTAATTGGGTAAAGTATTTTTGGTGATGCATTTATTTTTTTGAGTTTGTTCCCTATATCCCACCACTGTTTTCCAGCCGTGAAGTTTTCATCAGACAAGTCAGCTTTAGGTCTTAAGGATGCACGTTTATAGGCAATTTTTTCTTTAATTCTGTTGATTTCAGAATTTTTTCTCTGTCTAAGGTTTTCCTCATTTTCATAAGATGTGTCTTGGGGTACTTTTTTGGGGGGTTTCTTCTAGCTGGAACCCTTCTGGCCTCCTGAATGTGGTTGTATATCTTCTTTAGCTCTGGGAATATTGTAGCAATGATGTCTTTGACAGATTCTTCTTCATCAGGGTTTTTTTCTTGTCCCTCTGGGACTCCGATAATTCTTATGTTATTCCTTTTGGCTTCATCCCTATCTTCTCTTGACATCTGTTCTCTGACTGTGAGTCTCTTTTCCATTTTCTGCTCTTTTCTGGAGTGTCTCTGCAGTTGATCTTTAAGCTCACTTATTTATTCTTAGCAGCTGTTACTCTGCTGATGAGGCCTTCCATAGAGTTTTTCAATTCATTTACCTGGTTTTTCACATCTGTCAGTTCCATTTGTAGTTTTGATTGCATTTTTCCCATTTCTACTTTAAAATTCTCCTGCATTTTATTGGTGCTTTGTTCCATTGTGTCTTTTAGCTCCATATGCATCCTCAGAAACTCCCTTTTAAATCCTGTCAGAGAGGTTGCCTAGCACTTCATTACTGTTGGGGTCATCTGAGCTAGTCTCTCCACTAAGTAAGCTTCTGCATTGCTTTGCCATTGTTGACCTGTGTCGTTTACACCTTCACGCTCACTGTTACTATTGTGTTTTTGGAGTACTATTAATTGAGATGTGCGTAATGAGTTATTGGTTTAATGTGTTTCTGTTGATTAAAGTGCTGCAGTGAATGTTCCACATAAGAGACTAACTTCTGGTTCTTATGGGGTAAGAGGAGGAGAACAACTCTGGGTGCGCCCTGGAAAGACCCCAGTGCTAGGCAATACCTGGATTGCGTGGGCAGAGGGCAGAGGGCGGTTTCTGTAGGCCTCTGAGGTCCCGTTTACTGTCTCTCACAGCTCTTTGTTAGGAACCGGCCCTGCACCAGTAGTCTCAGTCTCATGGCCCTGGAAAGACCCCCAGTGCCCAGTGATACCTGTATTGAATTGGCGGAGGGGAAAGGGCAGTTCCCATCGGCCTTCTGCATTCCCGTTTCCTGTGTTTCGCAGCTCTATGTTAGGAATGGGCCCTGCACCAGTAGTCTCAGTTTCGCTGCTCTGGAATGGCCCCCTGTGCCCAGCGATACCTGGATTGGACAGGCGAAGGACAAAGGTTGGTGCTCGCACGCCTTCTGGGTTCCCCTTTCCCATTTTTTTCCAGTGTTATGTTACGAACCAGCCCTGTTCAGGCCTTCTCAGTCCCGCAGCCCTAGAAAGGCCCACTGTGCCCAGCAATACCTCTATCGAATTCGCCGAGGAGGAAGGCCAGTTCCCGCCAGTCTTCTGCATTCCTGTTTCCTGTCTCTCACCTCTCTATGTTAGGAATGGACCCTGCACCAGTAGTCTCAGTATCATGGCCTTGGAAAGGCCCCCAGTGCCAAGCCATACCTGGATTGAATGGGTGGAGGACAATGGGCGGTTCCTGCGGGCCTTCTGCATTTCTGGTTGCCAACCTTCCCAACGTTATGTTAGGAACCGGCCCTGCTCTGGCCTTCTCAGTCCCTCGGCCCTGGAAAGGCCCCTATGGCCAGCAATACCTCTATTGATTCGGTCGAAGAAGGCCAGATCCTGCCAGACTTCTGCGTTCTTGTTTTCTGTCTCCCGCAGCTCTATGTTAGGAATGGGTTCTGCACCAATAGTCTCAGTCTCACTGCTCTGGGAAGACCTCCTGTGCCCAGCAATACCTGGATTGGATAGGCAGAGGACAAAGGGCAGTTCCCGAGGGCCTTCTGTGGTCCCTTTTCCCATCCGTCGCAGCTCTATGTTAGGAACCAGCACTGCGGGGGTCTTCTTCGTCCCCAGATTTTTTTTTGTATTAAAATAATGAGACTAAGGACATGACACACTATTTTAAAAATGCTGTAGAATTGGTCAACTTTAATTTTTCTATATTTAAGATATTGATGCAAGAAAATTAGTTTGGGGAAAAAGAAAAGAAGTTGATGCCTGAAGAACTCTTAAATTATTGCAAATGGAGGTCTTTAAACAAAACATTATAACAGAAGAGAGAATGATCTCCATAGGTCAATGGATGTTACACCTGAGGAAGATAGTGATAGCATAGCAGGTAGGGCATTTGCCTTGCAAGAGGCCAACATGGTCGACCTGAGTTCGATTCCTCCGCCCTTCTCGGAGAGCCAGGCAAGCTACCGAGAGTATCTCGCCTGCACAGCAAAGCCTGGCAAGCAACTTTTGATGTATTCAATATGCCAAACACAGTAATAACAAGTCTCACCATGGAGACATTACTGGGCCCGCTTGAGCAAATAGATGAATAACAGGACGACCGTGACTTATTAAGAAAAATGAATTCTTATTCAAGTGATAGTTGAAATCTTCTTAATTGATAAAACACTTTTTTATATAGATGGATCTCAGCAAACTCCAAGTAGATTGAACTTAGACCTAGAGATACATATTGAACTTTATCCTAATAAAAGTGACAACCCCAAAGAAAAAGAGGCAAAGGTGAAGTAAGCAAAAAAACTCATCACTCATAAGTGGTCCTAATTAAGATTGTAACTCATTTGGGAAGAGAAGAAGAAATGGATGAGGAGGAAGGAGTTGATATAAATAGGAATTTTCATTACCCCAAAGCTGAATACACTTCTCCAGTGCACACAGGACATTCACCAAGATATACCACACAGGACAATAAAACATAACTGCAGAAAATTAAGAAGATAGAAATGATTTCAACTATCTTTTTGGACAATGAAAAACTGAAAATAGAAGTGAATCAGACCCAGAAATGGAGAATCAAACCAAGCATAAAAATTAAACAAATCACTAGTAACAACCAGTGACCTAGAGAGAGAGTCAAAGTGTAAATCCAAAGATTCTTGGAAACAAAGGAGAATAAACACACAAATGACCAGAACTTGTGGGACAGAGAAAAAGCAGTATTAAGAGGAAAGTTTCTGACTCTACTAGCATTCATCAGGAAGAAAGAAAGAGCCCATAGAAATAATTTAATCATAATTTAAGATCTTGGAAACTGACCAACAAAAGGAGATTTACTCCATGGCTTGGAGGCCAGCCTCACTCTCTAGGACTGAAGGCAGCTCACATAGTGAAGGGAGCACCAAATAAAGGGTGCTGAGAAGATCCGCCCAGGATGGGAGATGCATGCTAAAAGGTAGACTATAGACCAAACAGATGGCCAATCAATTCCTCTTTTGCAAACCACAGCACGCAAAAGGAGAGAGAGAACAATAGGGAGTGCCCTGGCACAGAGGCAGGGTGGGATGGGGGGATGGGGAGTGGGAGGGATACTGGGATTAGGGGTGGTGGAGAATGGGCACTGGTGGAGGGATGGGTACTCGATCATTGTATAACTGAAATCCAAGCACAAAAATTTGTAAGTTTACAACTGTACCTCATGGTGTTTCACTAATAAAAATTTAAAAAAATAAGGTGGAGCATAGTTACACTAGAATTTGCTTTATTAATATGCTTTACTATGTATATGGCTATGGAAGAGATTTGAGTAGAAGTCATGGATAATCTTCTCCATTGCCGTTCTGGAGGATGTGATGAATCCATCAGGACATTGGAGGGCAGTCATCTTGGTCTTGTAGTTGGCGAAGGACAGGCGGGCGTTATGAATACTTTTCCCGGCTTCTGCCGCATCTACCAACACTTCTGCTCTTCTCTCTTTGAGGTCTTCCTTGATCGCATCTCTGCACTGCTTTGCGAGCTCGGACGTTAGCTTGCGGTTGCCTGAGGCATGCGCAAAACCACGTTGGTGAATAAGCTCAAGAGTTTTCGAAGACAGAATTTTTGTGGCTATCTCTATCTTGGTATTCCTCGCACAATCATGGAGGTGCTGAACCAGTCGATCGTATTCCTCGTCAATGTTGTCAACAATGGCATCTTCCCATGTTGCCGCTATAGTGCCAAAGAGCTCCCAGTTGGTGGTCGTTCTGGGAGTTCTCTTTTTAAACTTTGCAGCCCTTTCTCCCCGCTTTGTAAGTAGAATTTTGCACGAAGGAGACGGTGGTCCAATCCCGTTCGGAATTTTGGGACATCAGTCAGGCAAAACCGTCGATTGAATATGATGTGGTCTATTTCGTTGTGGAATCGTCCATCGGGAGACTCCCATGTCCAATGTTTAGATTCTGCCTTCTGGAACTGTGAGTTACCATGAATGGTCTTGGTCGACATGATGAACTCAGACAGCCATGTCCACTTGCCAACATACCAAGTGAGTGTGGAAAGGTAGGACTACAGCTGAATCTTACGAAGACAATGTTTATGAGAGACAGCCTCGTTCCTGATGCCCCATTCGCTCTCAACGGAACGACCATCTCCGAATGCAACAGCTATGTGTACCTAGGTCGAGAAGTCAACATGACAAATGATCTAGCACCCGAGCTGCGCAGGAGGAAGAGAGCAGCTTGGAACGCCTTCAAGAACGTCGAAGAAACAGCTAAGAGGACGAAGAACCTCTGGCTCCGGGCACATCTCTTTGATTCCACTACTGTTCTTCCTGCATTAACATATGCCTCAGAGACCTGGGGCCTTTGTAAGCAGTATGAGAATGCTATTCGGGTCTCCCAAAGAGGAATTGAAAGAGCTATGCTTGGAATATCACGTTTCACTTAAATGAGAGAAAGAATCCAGAGTTCCGACATCCGTCGACTATCAAGAATCAGGGACGCTGTTTCGTTTGCCAAGGTGTCAACAATCAGATGGGCTGGCCACGTAATGAGATTTAAAGACGACCGCTAGACTAGAGCTGTTACCGACTGGATCCCATGGAATGTCAAAAGACCGCGTGGCCGCCCACCTACCAGATAGTCAGACTTCTTCATCAAGATCATGAATGATTGGTTTGAGGCTCTTCATGTTCCCAGAGTGAACAGATGCCATTGGGCTACACTAGCATGCGACAGGGACAAATGGAGACGTTACTGGCTTCCACTTGAGCAAATCGACGACTAATGGGAAGTTAAGTGATAAGTGATAAATGACTATGTATATGTAGCAGTAGCAAATTGTTTTTTAATTAACTATTAAATATTTTTACACACACACATAAAAAAAAACCCAAAAGGAGCTCAAACTAAAGTCTGGAGCAGTTTCTAACTAGATGGAAGCCCAAAACACGATGACAGATCAATGACACCAAGAGTTCATAAACAAGATCGATAAATCACTAAAAAGACTCACAAATAAAGAGAATGAGATTTCTTATCTCTACTGAGGTATTATTAATAGTAAAAATATGAAAATAATAACAAGATTTATACTGTACATATTTTCTAGCACCTGCTTTATAAATAGAAAGAAATGCTAGATTGCCGATGACAGATTTCTACTTATGGTACAGAATGCATATAGGCTCAGTGGACCAGCCACTTTCTGTACATGTAATTCCCCTCTGATTATTTGGGAGACTGTAGCCTATATCACAGGTAATTTTCACAGTTTCTCCTTCCAAATGTGTTACTTGTGAATAATCAGAATGACCATGTTCCACAGAAGGCAAAACGCAGTGTCCTAAAAACCCAAATGAAGAATATTACATAACTTAAAATAAAAAACACGTCACAGTTTGCCAACTTTAAGATAAAGTTCACAAAGCACATAATAAATTAAATTAAATTATGTTTTCAACAGAGATAGACAAATGGGACTATCTTAAACTAAGAAACTTCTGCACCTCAAAAGAAACAGTGACCAAAATACAAGGACAGTCTATAGAATGGGAAAGGATATTCCCCAAATACACATTTGATAAGCGGTTAATTTCAAGGATATACAAAATACTGGTTGAACTCCACAAAAAGAAAACATTCAACTCCATCAAAAAATAGGGAGATGAAATGAATAGAAACTTTCACAAAGAAGAAATCCGAATGGCTAAAAGGCACATGAGAAAATGCTCCACATAATTAATCATCAGGGAGATGCAGATCAAAACCACAATGAGATATCACTTCACACCTCAGAGACTGGCTCATATCCAGAAGAACAAAAGCAACTGGTGCTGGTGTGGATGTGGTGAGAAAGGGACACTCCTTCACTGTTAGTGGGAACGCCAACTGGTTCAGCCATTTTGGAAAAGAGTATGGAAAATTCTCAAAAAATTAGAAATTGAGCTCCCATTTCATCCAGCAATATCACTCCTGGGAATATATCCAAGAGAGGCAAAAAGTATAATCGAAGTGACATCTGCAATTGTCTGTTTATTGCAGCACTCTTTTTATTATTATTATTATTAGTGAAACACCATGAGGTACAGTTGTAGATTTACAAATTTTTGTGCTTGGATTTCGATCATACCATGATCAAATACCCATTCTTCAACCAGTGCCCATTTTCCAACACCAGGATAATATCCCTCCCCCCCATCCCCCCATCCCCCCCCATCCCCCCCTGCCACTGTGGCAGGGCATTCCCTTTTATTCTCTCTCTCTCCTTTTGGGTGTTGTGATCAGCAAAAGAGGCATTGAGTGGCAAACATGTTCAGTCCAGTCTACTTTCAACCTGCATCTCCCCTCCTGGGAGGATCCTCCAAACACCCTCCATTTGGTGTTCCCTTTTCTATCTGAACTGTCCTTTCCCCTAGAATACCTGGCTGGCCTCTAGGCTATGGAGTAATCCTCCTGGTGTTGATCTCAGCTATTCTTAGGTATT